CGGGGCTAGGGTGGGGCTCCTCCCATCCTCTTTTTTGATTGTTGAAATATGGTAACCCTATATAAATCGGTATCAGCAGAACTGCAGGGCTCTCCCGGGAACCGCAGCGGCGAAAGGAGCAGAACATGGGGCTGCCACTCCCAGGAGCCAGTGCCTTGCACCGACAGCTCCTCTGGTGTGGCTGTACTACCCCCAGTCCCGCCCACTGGGGTGGGCACCAGGCTCACCGGCAGCTGTCCCTGGCCATGCTCTTGTATTCAAGTGACGCGCATGCCCCCAGACAGGAGATGCAGACAGCTGTGTGGAAGAGATGGGGGCTGGGCTGCAGGCGGTTCAGCTGTGCCAGAGGAGCTGCTGGGGCGGGGCGCTGGGTCCTGAGAGCGGCGTCCCCACGTTCTGCTCCTTTCACTGCTGCAGTTCCCGGGAGCGCCCTGTGGTTCCGCGTATAGAGCTTTATGTCCGTGGATATCTGCATCCACAGATATAAATTTGTATCCACGTGGGACTCTACTTCCAAGCCTAACTATCTCTAATGAGAGTTAGAGAATATTTTGCCAAGTCCAATTTGTTCTTCTAATAATTATATATAATGGCCAAAATATTATTTTATTTTATACTTGTCTTTTCCTGATGTCCTCCAGCCTCTGTACATATAATGTGTAATCCCCTCTAAGCATGTTAATTCTCAATTTCAGCAAAGACAGACTCTCTTTGTCCCCTTTTCTTTGTACCCAAACTGTACCTACTGGTGTCAGAGGGAGTTTTGCCAATGAGTTCAATGAGAGCAGGATCAAACCCTTCAATGTTATAAAATATAAATGTAACATTTGTAAGAACAGACAAATCCATTTGTTACCATCTTTGTTTACAAACTTACTTTTGAAACCTTTAGTTCAGACTTTCCAGTGATTCCAGACAGATCAGCTTGGTCAGTGAACACATCGATCACACCCATTTTCTGGAATACCTCTTTTATGTCATAGGTACCAGAAATAGAAAATTTTGGAATGTGCAGATATATTGTTCTGTTAAAAAAGAAACACAGAAAAGTTTTGGCAAATCATGTGATTCAGAGACCACTACAGAATAGGGTCAAGTTGGTGACACTTGTATTTATCTCTCAAACTTAAAGAGTCTGTGTGCTGTATTTGACCAGCAGGTTTGAACAGTGTGTTTGAGTAAGAACTGAGCATCTATGGAAGAGAGTTCCTTGTCAAAAGCCTATATTCTCAACTATACCACTTTATGCAAGAGTCCGTTGTAGTTCACTGATTCTGGGGCTATTTTATGATGGCCCTGGGCCTAGTGTGGATTAGAGCAGCCTTTGTAGTATTCTAATTTAGGACAGTAGGCTAAGGTGCTCCAACAGGCCTTCTGCCACCTGGCAATTGCCAGAGTGGAGTAGTGTTCTGGCCATGTCAGATACCAGTCTCAACATATCCCCTGTGCCAGGGGCATAAGGAAATGTGGGGCAAAGGTGCCAGTGCCAGATGGGTACTCCCCACTACCAGGGAATTCATTGGTAAGTCTCTCAGTATCAATATCATTAGCCCCATTTACAAATGGAGAAACTGAGGCCATGTCTACACTATGGGCGCTACAGCAGAGTAGCTGTGGCACTGTAGCTATGGCTCTATAACCCAGTAGTTAGACTACAGAGCCAGAAGGACTTTGTCAATCACTGTAGAAACTCCACCGCACTGAGCGATGGTAGCTAGGTTGATGGATTTGTCCATTGACCTAGCTGTGTCTACATAGAGGGTTAGGTTGGCATAGCTACAGCACCTGGTGGATTTTTCATACCCTTCAACACCATAGCTATGGCGATCTAAGTTTTAAGTGTAGACCTGGTCTGAGGCACAGAGAGATGGTCACACAGCAGATGAGTAGCAAAGCCAAGAAAAGAACCCCGGTCACCTGACTCCCTGCTCAGTGCCTTTCCACTGGACCACACTGCCTCTGCAGTCAGTACAGAGAATGACAACTTGGTGTGTGTAACTTAGACCTGGGTCACCTTTCCCCCCAGTAAAACACATGGGAGGAACCTAAGAGTATGCCTACACTGCAATAAAAGACCCACAGCATGGCTGCAGCTGGCCCAGGTAGACACTCGGGCTGGTATGTCAGCTCTGAGACCCCGCAAGGTGTTGGGTCTCAGAGTCTGGACTCCAGCCACAGTCCACACTCCAGCTCTGCCTGAGCCCCACTAGCCTAAGTCACTGAGACTCCGTGCCACGGGTTTTTACTGCAGTGTAGACATACCCCTAGAGGGTAAGTATGGACTAGGGTTCCATACCCTGCCCATCACAGGACCCCCATGCTCTGGTTCATTTTCTATATAATCTTCACAGGATCATTGGGAGAGCACAGTATTCTGCTCCTCGCCTGGTGAGAACTCACCTACTCCCTGAGCAGACCCTGATTCTTCCACAGAAGCAACAGACTGTGTATGGCCCTCATCACTATGCTAACTGAGTGCCTCACAATTAATGAATAGATGTTATTTTCACTGTTCCCCTGTGAGGTAGGGAAGTATTATCTTCATTTTACAGATGGGGAACCTGGGCAAACATCAGACAAAGTGACTTGCCCAAGGAAATCTGTGGCTGAGCCAGGAACTGAACGCAGGTCTCCTGAGTCATAGTTCAAGGTCCTATCCACTAAATCACCCTTCCCATCTGCCCCTTCTCATGAAAGGAAAGGGAGGCCTGTTCTTTAAGGGGCCCTCTGTGTGCAGATTTCAGTTGAACTATCTGCCCTTAATAGTTTGTTTTTCATGTGAGATTCTGTCCTAATTTGCAGTAAAACATTTCTCAATGCAGCTGTAGCTAAAAGATTACCTTTCTTTGAAGGCCTTTCTCCATTTAGGCAACGTTTTTTTCAAGAGAGCTTTTTCCACCTCCTTCATTTTTTCTTCATCAGGCAGAATAAACAATGCTACAGCATTTCCACTATAAGGTATTTGCACCAGCCAGCAGGACAGCTCCTTATCATAGTGATGTTTGTAACTGCCCTTGCGGTACATCATATTAACTTTAACAGAGGTTTTCCCATCCACAAAAAAATCCTCTTCTTTTGTGTATAAATAATTAAAGGGCTCTTCCCAATGGGCTTATGAAAAAAAAGAAAGAGAATGCAATTGAATATACTGCAAAGTGGAAATATTAGTATGAATCAGACTAATTCAAGTGCACAAAGCCCACAGGATCTGATCCTGCAACTTTATTTATAGCAAATGTGTTTTATAAGTTGATACACCTCTCGATTTTATGAAGCTTGGTTTTAGTGCTATTCTCTTAGATGTTTAAAGGCCACTATTAACTGATAGAGTTATGAACATCATGTCTAAACTGAGCCTGTATATATCCATCAGATTAATACATATTGCATAGAAATATGGGTATTTGCTTCAAAGTCAGTTTCTTTCACTCTTAAGTGGGGAAAAAACACATTTGTAGTATTATAGAATGACTTTCCTGATTGGAGTATTTCCCAGATAGAGCATCTAACAGGCCCAGCAATGATGACAGGGTCCCTTCATTTAAAATATAAATTAAGTTTCATTGTCCCAGATTTTAGTCAACCTTCAAAAGCTCATGGTTGCAATAAACACCCACATTATAACAATTCTTACCTTTAAAGAAAACGTAGTTAATAAGAATCATTACAGTGAGTGGATCAAGATCCTGGACTAAATCAACAATTTTCCCATGGGTTTTCTTCTCAATGTAATTATTGATCTGTTTCACAGCATTGGTAGAATTGTTAAAGTCACTAGAAAAAACTTCTGATTTATAAAAGTTTTTAACATCTTCTAAAAACTTTTTGAGTGGTTTCAGTCTCTCTCCTAGGAAAAGGGCATTGCCCATATTCAGCTGGATCTCCCTGTCTGGACGGTTTAGCGCACAGATGAGATGGCAAAAGCCTTCATGTATCTCCTTTTCCTGAGTCTTGTTCAGGTCAAAGGTAAGTCCTTTGTGAATCTGATTCAGAGTAGCTGATTTAGCCCCAAGTGCCAGCATCGAAAAGGCAGTAGAGATGCTTATGGGAGAGAAGAAAATATTTTTGTCAGCTGTCTCTGATATAACTTGCTTGTAAAATCTAAATGCAAAGTCAATATTGCTGGGGGCCAGTTTGAAGTAGGTCTTGCTTTCGCATGTATAAACTCCTTCAACAGGGCAATTGGGTTCCCTGGTGGATGCATCTTTATGACCACCCCAGTCATTGTGGTGATCAGGCTGACGATGACAATGACTGATTGCTTGAAGTCCAGTCAGTAACAAACACACAGAGAGGGTAGGCTTCATTTTCCTTTGGCTTTATTCTGTAAAATATTTAGATTTACAGAAGTTAGTTAAGAAAATTATTCCTTTTTTCCTGTGTACTATGAGATCTGTTGCTTACTATTCAGTGATTAACACCTGTTGTGGAATCCATTGGAGCTACACTATGGATGAATTTGTCCCACTGATATCACATTCCAGGCTAATGTCATAGAACTCACCTTTCCAAGACACAAAAGTTTGCATGTGGCCTTTTTAACCTGTCACGAGCCAGAACTAATGACAGCAGGGCATGGAGCTTGAAACAAAGTGAAATTTTCCTCAAAAATGTAAAAAGCTCACTTTCAAGATTTCACATTTCAGAGGCCAATAACTCTCAAAAGAAATATATGCCTCCTGATAAATTCTTTATGTGATCACATGCTCTCTCAAATGAGATAGCTTAGATCGTATTAAGGTTCATATAAACTTGCAAAAGACTGAAAACTTTCAGAATACCTTTTCCCAGTAAAAATTGGATCACAAACAGCATTTACTTTTATAATCTACACTTCAGGATTGCTGTTGCTGCTATATTTGCCTTCCACAGTTTTCCAGGTCATTAAAATCTGCTAATTAAATAAAAATGTGCTATAAAACACACAGTACAGTGTTCCGCACAGAATTCATGCTTTGGTTTCTACTACCAATGATTATTTTTGGTACAAGTTTCCTAAAAGGCAAATACAATGAAAGGGTCATTAATGTATCTCTGGCAATAATCTCTCTGCAGAGACACATGAAAAAGATCTAGATGGCTTCCTAGTATGTTTTTCTGCCATTTTAGTCAAAATGTTGACAGTTTCCCATCATTTAAAATATAAATTGCAGTTACTTTGTCCTAGCTCCCTCCTCCACCAGAACACTAGTTTATAATGGCCCCTTGAATGTTTTGTGTATTTTTGTTTTTTTAAATCAGAATAGGGTGTTCTCTCTACCTGTTACAAAGTTGCCCACAGGTACTTCCATAAACTAAATAATTCCATAAACTAAAGTGCATATGATACAGATAATCAGAAATCAAAGGATCCAAGGAAAAATTAAGACAGTACTCACAGTACATTGCAAAGGATCCTCTATGTCCATCTGATCTGGACTGCTCCTTGCTCTATTGATTACTGCTGAACAGTAGTGTCCTCCATTAATCATTAATCAAATCAAATAAAAATGACGAGAGAGGATGCAGAGCAAACAATGATGAAGCTTGTTTTTCTGGGACATTTTGCCCACCTTTCACCCATGCAGTGCAGATTCGAGCTACCAGTCAGAGATGGCAGAGTGCAGAAGGGGCAGTGTTTCTTGCTGCCTCCCTTGCCTGCAGAAGCCTCCCTATGCAAACAGTATGTGATTGGAGCTCCACTGGAACTGAAGTGTTTTTGCCCAGGAGTGGCCACTCTTCACAATATGCTTTCCTGGGCCAGGGGCTAAAAGCTGCATGCGTTATTGGTGCTCAGATGACCATAAACTCCCAGCAGAGAGATTAGAATGTGCTACCTATATGAGGAATTCAGTGACAGCACATCATGGAAGCCACTTAGGGATTGGGGACAAACTTCCCAGGGGCACCACAAGCTGCATCCTTCACCTCTTTTAATGTATCCCCCATTCTCACACAGTAGAGGAGACAATAAATGTAAGATGGGTCATTTTGGCGAAGATCCTCAAAGATATTTAGGTGCCTAACTCCCAGTCTGAGCCTTTTTACTCCTTTTCACAAGTGATTTTTTTCTCCCCTCCACAGATTTTGCTGTTCATGCATTTCCTGCCTGGGACCCTGTTCACATTAGACATGAGAGCAAATCAATGGTTTTCTAGGGCCAGTTTGGTAGTTTGCATTGCCCACATGTTTATTTTAAAATAACTCTCTGGAGACTCATTTTCTAAAAGGATTGGGTGCTAGTGGGCAGGCATGTGAAAGGTCCTAACTGCTCAGTGGTGCCTCACACAGCCAAATTGCTGCAGGGCCGCAGAGGGACAACAATGTTCCCTCCCTCAAACGGAGGCTAGGGGCAACAAAGGTACAGAGGAAGTGGAAGACGGCAAGCAAAGGTGGAAGGCTGGAGAGTTGGGCTAAATGTATAATGAAAGAGTGCCAGTATGAATCACCAACCAGAGAAATGCAGACAATGTCCATTGCTCTATGACGGAGTTACGGAATCAGAAAATGCCTGTGAATGAAACTCTGCCCAGATGCAGGGCTGGCTTTAAGCCGATTTGGCCGATTCCTCAGAATGGGGCCCCGTGCCTAAGAGGGCCCCGCAACGTCCGGGGCTGCCGGCGGAGCGGGAAAAAAAAAAAAAAGCTGCTTCTCCCCCCTCCCTCCAGCACTTGCGCCACCATACAGCTGATCAGCGCAAGCCTGGGAGGGAGAGGTGAGGAGGAAGTGCTTGGGGAAGATGTAGGGCAAGGGCAGGGATTTGGGGAGGGATCCAATGGGGCAGGGAGGGGGCAGAGTCGGGGTGGGGCCAGGGCGGAGTTGGGACGGGAGACAATTCGCGTCCCGGCATGGGGCCCCGCACCTGCTAAAGCCAGTCCTGCCCAGATGTGTGGACAAATGAGGACAAAGAATACGAAGTTTTGTCTAGCTCAGCAGTTCTCAAACTGTGGGTTGGGCCCCCAAAGTGGGTCGTGACTCTGTTTTAATGGGGGTGCCAGGGCTGGCGTTAGACTTGCTGGGACCTGGGACCAAAGCTTTAGCCCAAGCCCCACTGCCCAGGCCGAAGCCAAAGCCCGAGGGCTTTAGCCCTGGGTAGCGGGGGTCAGGTTACAGGCCCCCGCCTGGGGCTGAAGCCCTTGGGCCCTGTCCTGGGAAGCAGGGCTCAGGCAGGCTCAGGCTTTCAGTCCCGCCTACAGGGGTCTTATTGTAAAGGGGGTTGCAGTGCAATGAAGTTTGAGAACCCCTGTTATAGCTCATTAAATATAGGATGGACAAGGAGCCTGGAACTAGTAGCCTTAAGTCAAGACTAGGAATCTGTGAGGAAAATGGGGGAACTGGAAGCCAGTTGGCTAGGAGAGGGGCAATGAGATTGGATGAGGAACTGGTGGGAGGAGGAGATTGGGGCTAAGAACCACTGGCAGTGGGAAGAGGAGACCAGGATCTGGGGTTAGGGGAGAACTGGGACTGGCTGGACAAAAAGACTAGGGCAAGGGACCAGAGAAGGGACAGTAACTGAGACTGAATGAGGATGAGGAATGAGTGTAAAAACAGTAAGCAATCACATAATTAAAATCTGGCATAATGCATACTCACACTGGGGATGAATTAAGGTTAAATGGGCAACCTTAGTTCTAGCATCATCTGACGTGTGTGTGTGTGTGTGTGTGTGTGTGTGTGTGTGTGTGTGTGTGTGTGTGTGTGTGTGTGTGTGTGTGTAGTACG